CTATGAATATGTAGAATAAGGTTGGGGCTATTTCCTGGTTTATTGCCCCAAGGGCTGGGGCATTAGACCTTCCTCTCTCTGCAAGCACCCAGAAAATGTGTGAGGAGTTGAATCACGCGGTGCTTCCACATCATCATCATAGCCACCAAAGCTATGTGCCAGGATCTGTACTAAATACATCACATGCATTATCTTCATCAATCCTCAGAGGTGGACTGGATTGTTATCTCCATTTTACAGATGAGGAAATAGAAGCTTAGCAAGAATAAAGAAGTCCCCCAAGGTCACACAGCTTAGACCAGTCAGATACTTGGAAGAGAGATTGAGGGACCCCGAGAGGTCCTGTGACCTTTCAGAGCCTTCCTTGAAATGAAGTAGCTCAAAGAGGAGGTCTTTGGGGGCTCCCTTTGGGATTTCCTGGGGCCCTCCAGTGTCCTGTGATGTGTCCTGAAACCCTGATCTGCATTTTCAGGAAAGCCAAGCTTGTAGAGTGGGGTGTGGTGGTGAAGATTCTGGAGCCAAATTGCTTGGGTTCAATTCCATCAGCCACTGAAGTGACCTTGGGCAAACCATTGTACCACTGCATGTCAATTGCCCCCTCTATGAAATAGGGATGATACTGATAGTACCCACTTCATTCACTGTGAGAGGATTAAGTGCTTTAACATCTGTTGAGTGCTTAGAACAGTGTCTGGCACAGAGTAAGCACTATGTAAGAGTTGGTTAAATAAATAAAAATACCCTTTCCTCTCTGGTGAGGTGCCTGCTGGTGGAGGAAGGCCTGGGGTGACTGGTCGGTAGTGGGGGTAAAGGTGGACAGACTGCTCTAGCAATGGAGTCAAAGGCCAACAATTACAGGAGCCTTACAGAGTTAACCAAAGGGGATGGGCGAGGGAAATCTCCCCTTTCTTTGGGCAGTCCCTCCCAGAGACTTCAAAAAAAACACACACCAAAAACCAAAGCCAGAAGAGGCTATAAGGGAAGGGATGCAACCCCCACCCAAGGCACTGGGATTAGTTCCTCAAATAGGAGGCCACAGCCTGGTGATTGACCTGAGCCAGAGCTAGGCTCTTTAATTCTTGAGAAAGGAGGAAAACATTTATTAGCATTTATCTAAAGTGTTTGACAATGACTTTTGGAGAACCAGAGGAGCAGCTCTTGTAGCTGGTAAACAGCTGCTCACCAACCACTCTGCACCCCAAAAAAGGGGCTGGAAGCCTTCGTTCTGAAAATCCAGGCCGGGCTTTCTGTCTTACCCCGATGACTTTTTTTTTTTTTTTTTTTTTTTGGTGCCAGGAATTCCTCTCCCACGTGGGGTAGACTCCGAGGTACTCAATTAAGCAGCCAATGAAAAGTCAGCTCTCCGGTAGCAAATGACCCTGACACTTCTTGTAACATAAACAGTTGAAACGTTTCCAATTAGAACTTGAGACAGAGACGTTTGAACTCTTTCTCTCCACTCCCCTCCTTTTTAAAAAATAATTGTCAAGCGCTTTGGACAGGGTGTTGTATACATGTTTTTTGTTTTCTTTTTTCTTTCTCAAGCATAAGAGAAATTTATTTTTCTCCTTGTTTTTCCTGATTTGTGGGGTGGCATGGGAGTGGGGGTAGAGCGGTGATGAGCTTATAGGGGTGCTGGCCTAGTTAGTTACCTCTCCGCTCCTCCTCCTGCTCGGGGCTCAGCCAGCTCAGGAGAGCTGGAATCGACGCTGGATGGCAGAGCGACTGGGAGCCAGCTGCGGGCAGCTGGGCCTGTGACCCCACAGAAAGGACTGATAGTGAATGAATGAGTGGATAAATATGAATGCGTGAATGAGTGTCTTTCCTTCAGCAAACGCTCGCGTGTATCCAGCTCCAGCAAGCAAAGGGGGAGCTGAGGTTGGCTGTCGAGTAGGCTGTCCTGGATTAGAATCCTGACACTTCTGCCCAGTTTGGGGCAAATTGCTGCGCATTCTCGACCTTTTTTTACTCTATAAAATGGGGCTACCAGTCAGCCTGCTTCCCTCGGGAGAGAGGAGAGGATAGAGTTCTCACTGGATAGCAGTGCCCTGCCTCGAACATAATAAGCACTCCAGCGCAGTTCTCATTCCTAATTGCCCGGCCACATCCATCACACGAGGCCGCAGGATCCTCTGAGATGCCCGGCCGGCGCTGGCGGGCGCTGAGGCTCACAGGTGAACTCGACGGGAGTCTGCCCAGCAGGAGCGCCCTGGATCGCGTGGTCCCCAGGAGTACGGACATCAGGGTAGGTGCAACGCACGAACCCGAGACGGAGCTGCTGTGCTCTTAAGTCCACAGTCCGCGTTGACCGACCTGTGGGCCTGAGCTCGTAGGCCCACGGCGGGCGTGCGCAGTCGGAGCTACTCTAGAGTGAGACCGAGAGATGCAGGCCCGACGAGGCGCCGAGTCCCGGCATCTTGAAGGCATTGTGCTTAATAAATCCGGACGAGACACACACCCGCACTCCCCCTTCTCCTCTCGGCTCCCAAATCGAGACCTGCTGTGGGATCCCCAGTTTATGGGGTCTTAAAACCCCCTCCACTTTGATTAGCGGCTTCAAAGAGATCGCTTTAAAGTTCACCCCCTCCTGGTCCTCACTCCCCTTTTACAGGCCACCCCTCCCCCATCACTCCTTCCAGACTTCTGGACAACAACAAAACACTTAATGCAAGTTTAAGAGGGGACGGGGGAGCGATCTTCAAGCTTCCTCCTTGCACTCGGGCCTTAGAAATTACCTGTTTCAGGCGTGTGCAGGAGTTGGGGAACCGTGGAGTATGGATGTTTTTCTTTTTTATCTTTTTTTTTTTTTGGTGTGTGTGTGTGTGTGTGTGTGTTACCTTTTATTATTTAAATTGATACGTTTCATTACTAGGGAGAAAAATAAAATATTCCTTTGATACACAAAATCAAATTGATATTTAGCCTCTGCTTACTTTTTTATGCATGGCTCCTTTATACCACATGGTAGTGACAGATTGTTTGAGCTGGAAGGAAAAGCCATTCAAAGCTAATTAAGCAGCCATTCCAAGCACTATTTGCAAGCGGGAGGCTCAGAAGCCTCCGCATTTGTCAGCGCTCCCCCACCCCGCGTGGTTTTGACTGACAGCTCTGGCGCGAACTGACAGCTCAAGGCAGCTCCACCAATCAGTAACAGGGAGTCCACTGAGCAGCCTCTGATTGGTTTTTCTGGCCTTGCTCGGGGCGGAGTTGGCGGCCCCCACGTGGGTGCAGAAGCGAGAAAGGGGCGGGGCGGGTAGGAAGCGGGTGCGCCCACCCGTGACGTAAGGGGGAGGGCAGAGAAGGGGGGGAGGGGGAAAGCTCCAAAGAGGAGCCATTTTGTGTCTAATGAATGCTGCGGCCAGATTCTCGCATCTGTCGAGCCGGGCTTCTCCCCACCCCCCCCTTCGGTGCGCGCCGCGCACAGTTTATGTTTTTATTTAGGAAAATAAATAAATGAAGAGAGGAGCGCGGTTCGGGGAGGGCGGCCCGAGCTCCGTGCGCGGGGAAGTTCAGCTCCGAGGCGGGCGCTCACGTGTAACTCCCTGCGCACCGGCCTCTAAGCTCCCGCTCGCTAGCTGCTCCTCATTAAAGATGCACAAGCGAACTCCGCTCCTAATGAGGGGAAAATATAGATCCGGGGACGCGCGGCCAGGTTGCACGCGCCCGCCACTGACCCGGAGTGCGTGTGGGTTGGTGGAGATGCTGGAGGGACTCGGGGGCCACCTGGGCCCGCCCACCCGAAGGCGCCCGCAGAGTCTGAGGTGCGGCACGTCCAGCCTCTGAGCTCCTTGGGATCCGCTTCCCCGTGGCCTGTCTGCCCTGACGTAACCCCTAGCGCAGGGGTTTGGGTGGTCTGTGCGACCGCGCGGGGAGTCCCGGAGTCGCGCGCGGGGGCGGGTGAGCGTCTGCAGCTCCCGGGGCGTGGAGGCTGGCGGCCGAGACACCCGCAGGGCTGCACGCGCGCCCCTCCACAGGCCCTCCACAACGCTGTGACACTGGCGGGTCAGGCTGAGTAAATCGGGTCGGAACTCGGTATTCCCGGGCTGGGGCAGGGCCATCACCCCATTCCCTACTCGGTACCTCTGGCCTCCGCGTGCAGTGAGGAGCTGCGGCCAGGGCGTCGCTGTTCCCACCGGGAAAGAGTCCCCAGTGGGGGCACGCGAACTGAGCTGGTTGTCCGTGGGCAGCCCGGCCCTTCCTTCTGTGCTGCCCGCCAAGCAAGAGTTCCCCAGACTTCTCTTCTCAGGCATCCGCCACACATCAAAGAAGTGTTTATTTGGCTTTCCGAAAAGAAGGGCGAAAGAACAAAGAAGACTAGCTGGGGGCTGTGGGGTGGGGGGTGAGTGGTGCACAAGAGAAGGAGTAAAGAAAAGGACACCCTCAGTTCCTAGCAAAGTTGGGAGGCAACTTTGGGAGCCACCATTTTCTCCGTCCTAAATCTTGTGAAGTGAAAACATTAAAGTGACAAAGTGATTGTTTGTTTTATAGTATCTAATTGGGCTGCTCTGCAGACCTAATGAGATTAAAGGGAGGAATCGTTTGCCGCCACTGCAGAATAAACTGATACATTACACCAGCCACAGGTTTTGAGGACTGTACAGCTTGTCTTTTTTCCTTTTGTTGTTATTCCTCTGTCTTCTTTCCTCCTCCCGCCAAATAATTATTTGCTAGTACATCGTGGAGGAAAAAAGAGGGGGGAAAAACTCTAGCAGTCCAGGACTATAATATATATCTATTTATTATGTCTTTCGGTTAATTCCTGATCTGAGGAGCGCTGTTTTTCACTCCCAGGCTAAAGTCACCAGCGGGTAGGGCCTGATTGCTACTTTTCATGCATAGTTTTAGACACAAGAGGGCATTGTGACGTCGCGCCCGGCGGCGCCCAGTCGCAGGCCGAGTCCGGCGGCCCCACGTGGGGCCCTGCACTCCCATTGGCCAGCGCGGGGCGAGGCTGCCACATTATTTTGTTACTTTTCAGTCCCTATTTGGAACTGCTCTCGCGGCAGTTCAGACCTCGTGCTCGTCCCCCCTCGCTTGTCTGTGTGTGGTATCCGCAGGTCCGGGGCACTTTTTGGGGTGTGTGTGTGTGTGTTGGGTGTGTGTGTTTGGGGGTTTGTCGTGGTGCAGAGCGGAGAGCTGAGCCGAGGAGAAGGAGGAAGGCAGCCGCAGAGCTACCGGGTCTCGGGCTGCGTCTCCCCTCCAGCGTTCTCCTGCCTGCGCGCTCCGAGGCGGCTGTGGCGGGGCCAAGCGCTCTTCGTTGGAGACGCGGTGCTTGAGCTGGGAACAGCGAGGACCCCTTAGCGGAGGCTTCTTCCTGTGCCGATGGAGTTAAGATGCCAGGTCGGCTGATTTGCACCCACTGAGCCGGAGTTTCCTTCTCGGCCCTGGGAAGGGCTGGCGGCGGCGGCGGCAGCAGTAGCAGACGGAACAGCAGGCTCTCCACTCCGAGGGGGGGCGTCGGCTCCCGCCCTCACCCTCCGGCGCTCCTGCGGCCCTAGCCGCCACCTCGGAGCCGGCCTTCTTCCTCTTCTCGCCGACAGCCGCCTCTGGGTTTGGACCTGCACTCCACGGATGCTGGGGCTGCCCCGGCGCGCCCCCCTCCCACCTCAGTGATTGGAGGGGGCCCGCGCTCGCCCCAGGAGGGGGCCCTGTCCTCGGGACCCCGCGCCGGACCCGCCGGGGAGGAGACAATGTCTGCGCAGCCCCAGGTTCTGACGCGCTCCACGCTGCCTGGGGAAGGCGGCCGGCCACAGCCCGCAGAGCCCTAGGCTCACAAAGCCCGCGCCCGCCGCCGACCTCGGCGCCCACCGACGACTTTGCCGCTCGCTCCGCGGCTCTTTGTCTCCGTTTGGGGTGGGCGCCCGACTCTGGGATTTTGCTGTGAGAGCGGGCTGGGGGGGCCGGGGGCGAGCTCTCGGTTTGCCGGCCGCCCCTCGCTCGGGCTTGGCTCCCCCCTCCCCCGCACCTCTCCAGCCCGGGCTCTCCGCGCTTCCACGCTCTTGGAATCACGACCCCTCCCTGCCATGTATCCGCAAGGCAGACATCCGGTGAGTAATTGCAACTCGGTTTATTTAAGCATCTATCATAGCAAGGTAAACGAGGCAGTTTATCTGGCACCTCCATTTTGCTTGTTGCTACCTTTCTGGGGTGTGTGTGTGTGTGTGTGTGTGTGTGCGCGCGCGCGCGCTCACACAAAGGGGATGGGGGGGCGCTGTTGAGAGGAAGCTCATTCCGCCAGAGTGTCATGGGGGGCTGCCTGTGTTCCCAGAGGCCTGTTTGTTTTCATGCTGTTCTCTGCTCCCTCGCTTAAGTCTCCTAACTCAACCGCGTGTCTCTCCCGCCCCCATCTTACTTGGGAATGGGGGACCCCTTCGTTAAAGGGATGGGAGTCTTGCAGCCAATCGGAAGGGATTGGGGTGCACCCCTTCCTACCCCATCTGGGAGCTGAGAAACTTGCTGGGAAGACACTGGTCTGCTAGGGTGGCCACTCTGTTGGGGTGGGGGACGGAGGGAACGCCATCGAGGGGCGCGGGCCGCTGGGAACCCCATCTGACGCCCCCCTCCCCCCTCATGTCTTGTCTTCGCGGGCTCCAGGCTCCCCATCAACCCGGGCAGCCGGGATTTAAATTCACGGTGGCTGAGTCTTGTGACAGGATCAAAGACGAATTCCAGTTTCTGCAAGCTCAATATCACAGGTAAGGCTGCTGGGGACCGCCCGGAGGCTGGTGGGGAGGGGGCGTCCCCGCCTCAGCTTCTGCCCCCCCGCCCCCCCGCGGGGAAGGTGGGGGCTCCCGACCTCGGGGCGGCAGGCCAGTCTGGCCTCTGCCTTTTGTTTCCCCTTTCCAAGCGCGGCGCCTTAACCCTTCGCTGCCTGCAGCCTCCCGACTCCCCGCGCCGCCCGTGGGGTCCCCGGGGTGGGGGTCGGAGTCTTGGGCTCTGGGTTTTGGGGTTCGCGAGCCAGCGTCAGGGACCTGCCTTCCAGTGGCCGGTATTAGTCTTATCGTTGGGCCGCGGGAAGTTTTAGTTGTTGCACTCCCCTCCGGCCGGAGGCTGCGGGGTAATGGGGTACCCTAGAGGCGTCAGGGTAGTGGGAAAGTGGCTCTCAGAGGCTCTCAGTTGAGGCCTCGGGGAGGCTGTGTAGGCCCCAGGCCTGAGCAGGCTGCTCTGCCCTTGCAGCCTCAAAGTGGAGTACGACAAGCTGGCGAACGAGAAGACGGAGATGCAACGCCATTACGTGATGGTGAGAGGCGGCGAGGGCCCGGCGGGTGGGTGGGCGAGCGTGCCGGCAGGCAGACTGGAGCTGATCCCCCCAGAGCCCCCTTGGGGCAGCCCTGGGAGCCTTCTGAGTGTTCCTTCCCAGCCTCTTTCAGCCGGCCACTTGGAGGAGGGTGGTAAGAGGAGAGGCAGAAAGAGAAACCCAAACCCCAGGCCCAGGCACTTCTGTGCTACCTTTATGCCCCTTTAGTTCATATTTTTTTGAAGGTTTTACGGAGAGCTGGTTGCCCTATCTTGGCGAGTAGGACAGGACTGGATTAGCCCATATTAAGGATTGGATAAAAATCTCCCTTAGAGCCCTCCTGGGAGTGTTTGGAAACTTTGGGGCCCAGGGATCTAGCCACAGTGGGCCCTAAGCCCTCCCTCCAACCCCTTTCTGTCCCCAGATATTTCTGAGAGTGAAGGAAGAGCCTCCACTGACCTCTCAGGGATTTCCCAACTGAGAATCTTATCAGCCCTGGGGCAGTAGATGGCCATTCTCCCCTTTTCCCAGTGTCTGTTCCAGCAGTTTACATCATCGTCTGTGAGAGGGCATGGAAGGCACTTAAGCGCCTCCCTGCACTGCTTTCCACATAAGAGGCTTCGACACATTGCTAAATAACTCTCAGAGGACAAGAGGGTCCCAGTGTACACACGATTCCCTGTTGAACCCGAACCTTGTATAAACAGGATATATGGCACATGCAGTGCTTATGGAAGGGAGGGCCCAGCTTCTCTGACTACTGGATGTATAATGTGTTGAGAACAGCACTCACTGGCGTTCAGCCCTTATTACTCTATTACCACTCTATTAATGGCTTTGGGGTTTGGGTCTTTAGCAAATGTATCAGGAGAGTACGATTTGACCAAAACCTCCCCAAAAGCTGATTCAGGAAAATGGAGAAATTTCTGTGTTGTCTGTTAATGGTAGTTCTTTTCACTTTTAGTACTATGAGATGTCCTATGGCTTGAACATTGAAATGCACAAGCAGGTAAGTGCTTTTCTCTTTAAAAACATGTTTTTTAAAAACTTACATAATACACGGTTTTTTTTATGGCCCCTCATGTTTGAAAATGAGCCTAGTTCTTTCTCCTACTTTTTGAAAAATGAATGGATCCAGTCCTTGAAATGCAGGGTCTGAGGTGTTGCTGATTTCTTGGGCGTTGAGCTTTCGAGCTTGTGAGATTTGTCCTGGTCTTGGATCTTGGTGGAAGATAAAGGAGCAAAGGGAAAGTTGTACTTTCAGGTTCTGCATTAGAACTCCTGAAACCCAGAGGTGGCTGGCTGCTTTTATCCGTTTTAATGTAAAATTTTCAAGAGGAAATACAGGAGTGGTTGTGTGTGTGTGCAAAGATGTGATGTTCTGCCTTGATAAGATTTAACTTCGAGAGTCTTAAAAGCCAAGCTGAGCTGTCAAAACTCAAAGGGAACAAGTCACTAACTGCTTACAAATATAACCGGAATGAAATAAAAGCCCAATGCTTCTCATTTATGAGGGAGCTTTCTCATCTTTCTTAATTTGAAGGCAGCCTCGTTCCCATTTTACGGAGAAGGAAGGTGAACAGGAGAGGTGAAGTAACTTGCCCACAGGCAGCCTGGCCAGGACTTTTGAGATGGCTGGGAGTTGAGCTCACCTTTGAAATCCTGAAGTCAAACCAGTTTAGCTAGTGTGGTGCTGCTTGATGGATATGTAAACTACCTCATATTGTCACTCTTCTAATAACAGTATACCTCAAACTGAGCAAATACAAACACCCTTTATCTGGGTGCATATCAGTAAGTAGTCCCTGGTGCTAGGCTGGGCTCTGGGAGAGGCCTGTTTGTGTATTTCTGTTCCGAGGAGAGGCTGCCTATAATTTGGCTTGGCCAGCTATTAGTGTTGGCATGTATAAATGGCACAGGCCTGTTGTTCTTTTTAACAATTGGTGTTCATGAAATCTCAGAAGGCTGTTGACTCATGCTAGCCTTTGGTGACCGTGACTTGAATGGATTTTCTGCTGTAAATTAACAGTCATTTACAAGGTTTCCATTTTGCCCTTTTAGGAGGCAGGACCCAGGGCAGGTGAGAAGGGCAGGTGACCTCTGGAATGCCCCGAGATTCCTGCCCGCTCCAGTGGCTTGTGTAGAGCCTTGTGAATCTGTGGTTTCCTTTCCCCCTCGGAGGGAGCCCAGTGTTGGCTAAAGGGCAGCCAGAACGGGGCCTGAGCTGACTGAGCGAAGTGGGAAGCCAGCTTGTGGCTTCCTGAGTGATTAGCCCTTTAGGAAGGCTCATGAAGTCTACCGGGTTTTTACTGCTGGACCCACAGGCATCATCAACAGATACCACTTTGTATGTGAAAGTATTTCTTCTCAGCAGAATGGTTCTGCCCAACTTGAGGTGGAACTGACCTGTTCTTACCGGTGCGATAAGATTACACGAAGTGGAACTGGGGTCCCAGGTGTTCATGGACCTTGGGGTGTTACACAAAGTGCCACCTCCTCCCTTTCTCCACCTCCTCTTTTTCCTCAGCGCTTAGTATCTTGGGTGTGTTTAAAGAGGGTAATTGCACCCAGGTTTAAAATTTATAGCAGCAGTTATTTTAATTAAGGTGTAATATGTTGTTGCATGTTGAGGTCTGAATGGGTGGTGTTCCTCGCGTGTGTGAGTGGATGGTTCTTGGCATAGAACATTTACCTTGGCTGGCAGAGCCAAGCTGTTCCCAGAGTCCTGAGGACACTGAACTCGGAAAGAGTTAACGACCTTAACGGGTGTGGTGGTGGGATTTGTATAAAAAGCAGCTGTGTGCATCTGGGGTTCTGGCCACTCCTCAAGCAGGGTTCTTAGGGGAAGAGTGCCTGAGGTTTGGTTACATCGTCTCATTTAATCCTGTCAGCTGCCAGAGGCAGATAGCTAGATTCTCTGTCCCCTGTTTACAGGCGAGGAGACGGATGCTTTAGGGGTGCCAAGAAGGCAGAGCTGGCACTCAAATCCGAGCCTCTGGATTCCCCTCTTGGGTGCTTCACCCTCGTACCACCTCTGCCTTCCAGCCCCAGTTCCCCCTTGCTTCCCAGCCTGAGCGTGGGTGCTCTGAATGCTGTGCCTTTGCCGCGTTTATGGCGATCTCTGAGTTGGGTGAAATCGCCCCATGGCTGTGTAGGAACAAAGAGACAAGGAGGTGAAGAAACCTCTGCAGAGATGTGCAACGCTGACCTAATGGGGTGGCCACTCCCTGGGCTTGCGAGCTGCAGAAGAAAACCCGGCCACTAATTGTAGTTTGGGGCTTGGGTACATTTGGCGGAAGGTGGTTAGGCCTGAGCAAACAAGTTTATCAGCTGACCTGTTTAGCGGTTGACTGGTGTTTTATCTGCACACACAATCAAGTGACTGGAGTGCTTGAATTATTCATGCAGTGTCCTGCCCTCTAGACTTGACTGTTCGTGTGATTACATCTGCCTGGAACAAACAGGCTGGATTCTTCATCTTTAAGCTCAGGGCTGGGGGTGGGGACTGTCTGTATTTTTTTTATATAATAGATGATCCCCTGAGCTAGCACCTGGGGAAGTGTGGCGGTCCTCGGCCTGCTCTGTCTCACACATCCTCTCACCAGAGCCACTATGGGAAATGCCTGTTAGTTGGGGACCACAGTTTCTGCCAAGTGGGCCCGGTGTTGACAGAGGGCAGCCGATGAGGTGAGTCCAGCCCATTGCTATTTTACTGAGAGGTTAAACTCACAGTGGCTGGCTTCGCTCCTGGCTGTTTCTGTCTCCCTCTTGTTCTTTTTCCAAGCTGTCAAACCCCAGAGAAGTAATAAATGGTTTCTCCTCCCACTCTTCTGCCTCCATCCCTAATTATGGTAAAGTGAAGATTACAGAATCACGGGCCTGGCCTGAGACTTGAAGAGGTCACTCACCTCCTCCCAGCCCTGGCTTCCAGACATAATGTCAAGGTTGATTCAGCGAGGCCGGGGAGGTGAGGATGGCCGACCTGCTCATCCGTTTCCATCCTGTTCCTGCACAGGCTTTGCAGTGTCACCCACAGATCACAAAGCCACTTAGAAACAAGCGTGTCGGAGCAACCGTTGTGCCTTGGGTGTGAGGCCCTTATGCTATGGGACACTGGGTCAGGCTCCTCCTGCACCCTCCACTGGTGAGCGCTGAGGGTTTGAAAGAGGACTCGAGGCATTTTGATTTGGGGGCAGCCTCACGCCAACACTGTACAGTCACCTTTTTCTAGAAACTGAGCAACTCTTTCTCTAAGTTTCCTTTGCCATGCTGGAACTAGGAGAGCCCTGTGGCTTCTTGTCCAAGCCTTTCAAGTTACAGATGAGGAAACTGAGGCCCAGCAGGGGAACTGGTGCAGCCTTTCTTTCCCACCCCAGGTCTCTTCAGCAAGACTCAAGAAATGAAGAGTGCTCATGTATAACTAATAGCACTCTGTGTCTTTAATTACAATTGCTTCTTCCTGTGTTGTTATCTCAAGAGGCTAAGGCTGGAAACCTGGTTACACCAAAGTCCAAAGTACCCCACTTTGGTTGTATAACCATTTCAGCTAAACCCTCTGCCCACAGCCCTCTTCTGAATTGCCAGCTATTTGCACAATTAATGATCTGAGTGCGAATAATACATGGAATACAAAAGTAGTAACGATCCCAGAGGTAAGGTTCATGGGTGAGGTAAAGTTGTAAAACCTGTGAACTTTTTACTCAAGGCTACAGAAAGCCATGGTGGTGGCCGTGAACACGGGGCTGAGGGAGAGACAGGAAATCTCCATTTGCCATCTCCCCTCTTTGGGGGCTTCTCACATAAGTGGTAAGGGGCTTTGGCTGGAAAATCTCTAGGTACCACAGCTTGAAGTTCTGTGTCCCTTGTGAAGGTACGGGTGGCCAGAGGGAGCCAACAGGTGGCGAGATTACAAAGACCCTCCCAGGGAGAAGGTAGCACCACTCTCAAAATTGAAGGGGACATAGGTCCTTATACTGGGGCAGTGCTTATCTGTGTGTCATCTGTGTTGAGCCAAGAAGAAATTCCAGTATCATTTTTGGCCAGTATCATTTTGGCTGCCATCTAAAAACCCCTCTGCACCTCGGTTTCCACCTGACTTTTCCTGCTTTGCCAGTCTTCCCTGGAACAGTCTCTGTGGTCACACAGGTCCTCTCACTGTCCTGTGTCCCTTCCTTATTCAGCTTTGGTCTCTGAGCTCAAAGCTCCCTTCACTGTCCTGTCCACCAAGGAGGGGACCCACCCCCACCCTTTAAGACCGCCTGCCTTCTCTGGCCCCCATTCTTTGCTGCTGATGACATTGTGCGCCTTGTATAGGAAGGATCTAGTCTGTGTCAGAGGCCCTTCATTTCCACGTTGTAGGAGTGAATCAGTCAAGGAATGAGTTCCCCTTTTCTTCCTGCAAAAGAGAATGTTTTCTGTCCTATTTGCTCTACAAACGCCTGGCACACCAGGAACAAAAAGGTGATCAAGGCCAATCACTTTGGGGTTTGCTCTGTGATCTGGCTTTGGTGATTCCCTTCCTCACACTACATTATCTTATTTTTGTAGAAATGGAGGAAGGCCCTCTGCTGGAGTCTCTTACGTGTACTTAGTAGGTGTTCAGTAAACACGCTGGTTTTTCTTTACTCAGAGGGTAGGATTCTGATTCCCTGAGCCCTGTGAGTAGGAAGTGGGGGTTTTAACTGTGGGCTGGCCTCACGCTCTGCAGGCTTCCTCCCACAGCTTAGCATCCAGTTTCTTCATCAGTCAAATGAGGGCGTTGGCTTCATTCCCAAAACGGTGATTAGGGGCCTGGGATGTGCCCTTGTGGGCTGGGGCTGGTGAATGAGACACCCTTCCTTCCACTGGGGAGTTGGGCATCTAAATCAGTCATTGCAGCGCAGTGAGGTAAGTGCTAATCTGGCCGAGTGACACCGGAGGAGCGCTCAGGACAGAACAGAACAGCTTCTTCCTGGGAAAGGGGAGGCGGGGAGAAGACTGCACCCACGGGCTGTTAACTTGAGCCACATC